CCAGGGGTTCCTGGCGGTGTGCTGGGGGGGCGGTGGGGAGCCCCTCAGAAGTTCAGGTACCTAGTTCCAGCTCCACCCAGCTGTGTTTGGAACCCCTCCTCTCTCCCCTAGATGGAGGAGTGTGGGGGGGTTCCAGAGCCTGGACGCCCTCCAGGCTTTTCCAGGGGAATGGCTCCTTGGGGGGGGGGCCTTCCCAGCTCCTGCCGCTGCCCGCAGGTACCGCTATTACCAGAACGTGTGCACACAAAGCTATTCCTTTGTGTGGTGGGACTGGGCCCGCTGGGAGCAAGAGATCGACTGGATGGCGCTGAATGGCATCAACCTGGCGCTGGCCTGGAGCGGCCAGGAGGCCATCTGGCAGCGGGTGCGTGACCACCTGGCCCCTCCACACTGTCCTGCCCACATGTCTCCACCACCCCCTCCCCATCCCTGGCATCAGCACAGTGTCTGGCACATGGAGAATAAGTGCTTTGGAAGTGTCAATGGCATGTGCAATGGCTCCAGCCCTCTAGAAATGGAGGCTTCCATTCCCGAGACAAGCATGTCTGAGGGTTACTGTGGGGTAGCCCTGGCACTCTACTATAAGAAGCCGGGGCTCTTGTCCCAACCCCCACATGAGGCCAGTCCCCTGGCCCTGTAGATCCCTCTCATTAGCAGCTCTGTCTCTGCCTCCCTGGGAGCCTCCTTGTGTACTGGCCACTTGCAGAGCAGTCCTGCTTTCCATCTGGCTTCTCCAAGAAGCCTTCTAAGATCCCCTCCCTGCTTAGAGGAAAGCCCATTTATGCTCAGTCTCCTCACCCATACAACAAAAGTGACATATTAGTGAACTCACCTGCTCACAAGTCTCTTTCCCCTGAACCATGGGCTCCTTGCAGGCAGGGGTCAAATTTTGTCTTAGTAGCCCTAGTGCCCAGCATAGAGAAGCAATGAATGAATGCTGAATTGATGAATGGGGATGAATATATTTATATGTGTGGGGATTGCCCTCCTCAGGTGTACCTGGCCTTGGGCCTGACCCAGTCAGAGATCGACGAGTACTTCACTGGCCCTGCCTTCTTGGCCTGGGGGCGCATGGGCAACCTGCACACCTGGGGCGGCCCCCTGTCCCACTTCTGGCACCTCAAGCAGCTTTACCTGCAGGTAGAAAGATGGGAAGGAAGGGAGGGGGTGGGATTGTGCTAGATTGTCATGGGCCCAGGTATTCAGCCAGTCTCGGGGCTCTTAACAGAATGGTGGGGACTTGCGTGCCCTGGGTGAGTGAGGGCATCCCCCATGGGCGTAGCAGTGGTCACGCTCACCAGCCCCCCATCCCTCCCAGCATCGGATCCTGGACCGGATGCGCTCCTTCGGCATGATCCCAGTGTTACCTGCATTTGCAGGGCATGTCCCCAAGGCTATCACCAGGTGAGGTGCCCCTCTCACCCCCCAGAGGGGGAATTTTCTCTCGTAAGACATGACTTAAAGAAAAACTTAAACTCTGGATATAGACTTGGGTTTGATCCCGGCTCTGCTACCAAGTAGCTGTGTGACTTTGCAGATTACATGACTGCTCTGTGCCTGTTTCCTAAGTTGTAAAAGGGATTTTTACCAACTTTGCCATAAGGGTTTGTAATCACATATGTGTGTGTGTGTGCCTTTTGCTCCCCACTAGGGTGTTCCCTCAGGTCAATGTCACCCAGATGGGCAGTTGGGGACACTTCAACTGCTCCTACTCCTGCTCCTTCCTTCTGGCTCCTGGAGACCCCGTATTCCCCCTCATCGGGAGCCTCTTCCTACGGGAGCTGACCAAAGAGTTTGGCACAGACCACATCTACGGGGCTGACACTTTTAATGAGATGCAGCCCCCCTCCTCGGAGCCCTCCTACCTGGCTGCTGCCACCTCCGCCGTCTACGAGGCCATGACCGCAGGTACAGTGCCTGGGGAGGTGCGGAGGGGAAGCCCCCCCAGACCCTTAGAAAGATGGTGGTGTTGCCGCCCAGCCAGGTTCATTTGCCCCTGCACGAGAAGAAGCCAATACGCTGAGCCAGCAGGTTTTACAGCGGAGAAAGAGTCTGTATTCCGCTAAGCAGGGAGACTGGAGAAATTTCTCCAATCTGCCTCCCCGAAAACTTGGGAGACAGGGTTTTTAAGGATAGTTTGATAGGCAAGGGATTAGGCAATTAGGTTTTTTAATTAGGGCAAAGTTATAGGGGCATAAGAATCATCTTCTTGGGTTGCTCCAGTCCCTAAGGTCACAATTCCATTTGAGTTGGTTTCTTGGTATGGCTGCTGGTCTGCGTGGGCCAGTCCATCCACTGGAATGTGGGGCCCCGGGAAATATCTCAAAAACTCCCTTTAGATTCTGAAAAGGTGATGTTATCTACAGAGAAAGTTAAGAATCTTTATGGACACTGGCTATGGGGAGAAGTTAAGATCTTTATGACCACCAGCTACGTGCCTCCAGAGTGAGTGGCTGTTACAGGAGGACAGTTACTAATTATTATCACTATTTTTAACTAGGCCTGTGCATAATTTTTTGCTAGGCCCTCACCCCAGTTCTCACCTTGCACCCCATTACTGAAGGTCGGTTTTGGTGGCAGAGGTCAGTGAGGGTGGTACGGGAATAACACCTCCCTGAAACACACAGCACTTTACAGTGTACCAAGCACTCGTGCTTACACGTCATCTTATTAATCCCACCCTGGTTGGGGGACAGCTCTGGAACCAGACAACCTGGCTCAAACCCTGGCACTGCTATTTCCTGGCTATGTGACTTCTGACAAGTTCCTTCCTCCCAGTGTTTCAGTTGCTTCATCTGCAAAATGGGGCCACCTTATGGGTAGGATGATGCCTGGCCCAGAGAAAAGAGTCATTCAATGTTAGCAATTAAAAAGATTCGATTTGGTCTCTGTCAAGTTGCTGAGGCAGGTAAGGCAGGCCAGCAGTTAGGGGAGGCACTCAAAGGTGGAAAGTGCCCATCCTGCTACACAAATGTGCAGCAAGGGTCCCTTCCTGCCACTTACAAGTCAGGAATGGTGTGGCAGGGAGGCCACTCTTAGCCGGAGGGAGCAGATTGGCTCAGGCTTCCCGAGCAGTGCCACTCCAGGTGTGATCCAGACCCAACAGCGTCAGCATCACCCCAAACTGTCAGATACGCAGATTCTCAGAATCAGACCTCCTGAATCAGAAGCTGCAGGCGCTGGGGCTCAGGCATCCATGTCTTACCAAGCCTTCTGGGTAATTCTGATGCCCCTGGAAGCTTGATGAACACTGTCCTGGAGTTGGGAGGAGGTGGGAATGGGGCAGGGGATGGGTCACAGTATGTCCTGCTGTGGGGCGTCCACAAGGGAAGGTATGTCCTGTGATAGGAAGAGTCACTTAACCTCTCTGGACCTCCATTTCCTAGTGTATAGAATGGGCTCGACATTCCCTTGGCCCTCCTCTTTTCTCATTACCTCTCTTCTCTGTCCCCCCACCTCTGACTGTAGTGGACCCTGATGCTGTATGGCTGCTCCAAGGCTGGCTCTTTCAGAACCAGCCCGAGTTCTGGGGGCCCACCCAGGTCGGAGCTGTGCTGGGGGCTGTGCCCCGAGGCCGCCTCCTGGTCCTGGACCTGTTTGCAGAGAACCAGCCCGTGTACATTCGCACAGCCTCCTTCCAGGGCCAGCCCTTCATCTGGTGCCTGCTGCACAACTTCGGGGGCAACCATGGCCTGTTCGGAGCCCTGGAGGCCGTGAACCGAGGTCCCGAAGCTGCCCGCCTCTTCCCCAACTCCACCATGGTAGGCACAGGCATGGCCCCTGAGGGCATCAACCAGAACGAAGTGGTCTACGCCCTCATGGCTGAGCTGGGCTGGCGGAAGGACCCAGTGCCGGATTTGGCAGCCTGGGTGACCAGCTTTGCTGACCGGCGCTATGGGGTCTCCCACCGGGATGCAGAGGCGGCCTGGAGGCTGCTGCTCAGGAGTGTCTACAACTGCTCCGGGGAGGCCTGCAGGGGACACAATCACAGTCCTCTGGTCAAGCGGCCATCCCTACAGAGGAATACCACGGTCTGGTACAACCAATCGGATGTATTTGAGGCCTGGCGGCTGTTGCTAACAGCTGCCCCAACACTGGCTGCCAGCCCGGCCTTCCGCTATGACCTGCTGGACGTCACTCGCCAGGCAGTCCAGGAGCTGGTCAGCCTGTACTATGAGGAGGCGAGGACTGCCTACCTGAAGAAGGAGCTGGCCCCGCTGCTGAGGGCTGGGGGCATCCTGGCCTATGAGCTTCTGCCTGCGCTGGATGAAGTGCTGGCTAGCGACAGCCGCTTCTTGCTGGGCAGCTGGCTGGAGCAGGCCCGGGCAGTGGCATTCAGTGAGGCTGAGGCTGATTTCTATGAGCAGAACAGCCGCTACCAGCTGACCCTGTGGGGGCCAGTGGGCAACATCCTAGATTACGCTAACAAGCAGCTGGCAGGACTGGTGGCCGACTACTACACCCCCCGCTGGCAGCTCTTTGTGAGGGTGCTGGTGGATAGCTTGGCCCAGGGCATCCCTTTCCAACAGCTCCAGTTTGACAAGAATGTCTTCCAGGTGGAGCAGGCCTTTGTCCTCAGCTCGCGGAGGTATCCCAGCCAGCCTCAAGGAGACACTGTGGACCTGGCCAAAAAGATCTTCCTCAAATATTACCCCCGGTGGGTGAATGCCTCTTTGTGATAGATTAACCACTCCTGGGCCATGTTCTCCCCAAGCTCTGGGTTGGGGCAGGTTCCCAGGGCCTGGAGCCGGACCTGCTTCACAGGACATATGTCCAGGCCTGGGAGAAGGACCCAAGGCCTGCTAGTGGGATTAGGCCTGGGGGATTTGGAGGAAAATTTTGGGATTAAAGTACTGTTTTCTGTCAATTTAATAAACTGACGAATCAGCCCAGATTGTCAGAATGAGAAGGTCACTGCCAGAATGCTACAGCATGGACCCCTGTGTAGGGCCAGTTCTTCCCACCACTTGCCTCGGCTTCCCCATTTTTAATATAACCCCTGACCTTTGAACTGAGAACATCCTCGGAAAGCCTTTACTTTCACACCCTGAGCAGCAAACTTTGCTAACTCAAATTGTCTCTGTGGGACAGAGGCATGCCCAGAGTGCCATGTCACTCCGTGCAGACATGGGAACCCATGCCCCTGCTTGCAAAGCCTCCCCTCCCTCTGACCAGCAGCTAGGACGGTTGGGTGTTCCAAGCAGTGGCCTCATCCCTGCTTTGACCCAAAGCAGGGGAGGGGAGAGCGAGCCAGGGAGGGCTCAGCCTTGAGATTGCGCTGCAGACACAACAAGGGGTGGGGGCCCCAGCAGGCAGGGGCGGGGCAAAGCAGGTGATATCCAGCCCCAGCCCCGAGCCCTATCGTCTCCCTACACGTCTCCCCATGGAGCGCACCGTGGTGCTCATCACCGGCTGCTCCTCGGGCATCGGCCAGCACCTGGCCCTGCGTCTGGCGTCAGACCCGTCCCGGAGCTTCAAAGGTCTATGCATGGTCAGGGATGGAGAGAGGAGGAGCCCTTAGAGGTAAGCAAGGAATCCAGATCTTCATCCTGTCCCTGAACCTCCAGTGTACGCCACGCTGAGGGACCTGAGGGCGCAGGGCCCGCTGTGGGAGGCAGCCCGGGCCCGGGGCTGCCCTCCCGACTCCCTGGAGACGTTGCAGCTGGACGTGAGGGACTCAGATTCTGTGGCCGCTGCCCGAGCACGCGTGACCGAGGGCCGCGTGGACGTGCTGGGTGAGCCTCCCTGAAACCCATGTGCTCTTAGGAGCCTTCTCTGTCCTGTGTCCAAACCAGGATGTTCCGAGGCCAGGGAACACTAGGGGACAGGCCGGGGCTGAGGGCTGTGTGTGAGGCGGCAGGCTCGGGCCTCTCTCCCGCAGTGTGTAACGCGGGCCGGGGCCTGCTGGGGCCGCTGGAGGCGCACGCCGCGAGTGCGGTGAGCTCCGTGCTGGACGTGAACGTGGCCGGGACGGTGCGGACACTGCAGGCCTTCCTGCCAGACATGAAGCGGCGGCGCTCCGGACGCGTGTTGGTGACAGGGAGCATGGGAGGCTTGATGGGTGAGTGGAAGGGGCGGGGCCAGAGGTGCGAAGGGGCGGGGCTCCGCGAGAGATGGGCGGGGCCCGTGGAAGAGGCGGGGCCTGGAGAGGCGGCCGGCGCTGCAGGATCTTGGCGGGTCTGGTGTCCCGCGCGCCTCGGCAACCTCATCTCCCCTCCAAGGGCTGCCCTTCAACGCCGTTTACTGCGCCAGCAAGTTCGCGATCGAAGGCTTATGCGAGAGTCTGGCGGTTCTGCTGCCGCCCTTCGGGATCCAGTGAGTCATCACCCCGCCTCCGAACCCTCTGAACCCCGACCTTGGGAGCTCGGCACCCGGTTTTGTTGGAGCTGTTCTCAGGCGGTCTCCCTGGCCCTCACTGCTCCGCTCACATTGTCATGTGCCGGGCACTTGGGACACAGTATCTCACTTCACTTGCCGACCTGGCTGCTGAGGTGTCGGTATTGTTATGGGGAAATTCAGGCCCAGAGAAGTTAGGTGACCGGCCCCAGGTCACACAGCTGCAAGTGACCCAGCCAGGTTTGAATTCTGACGCCAGAGGCTCCCTCACAGCCTCAGAGGGATGTGGGAGCGCTCTTCGGGCAGTAAACCGCTTTTCAAGCGCTCGGGTTATCCTGGGCGCCCGGCGCCCGCGCGCAGACCCTCTCCCGCCCTGCCTCCCTTCGCGGCTGGGGGGCCGGGCTGGGGCTGGGCTAGCGTCCGCCCCGGCCCACCGCCGCTCTCGGCCCGCAGCGTGAGCCTCATCGAGTGCGGCCCGGTGCGCACCGCCTTCCAGGACAAGCTGGAGGGCGGCCCGGGAGGGGCGCTGGACTGCACGGACGCCCAGACCCGCCACCTCTTCTCCCTCTACCAGCGCCACTGCGAGCGGGTCTTCCGCGAGACGGCGCAGGACCCGGAGGAGGTGACAGAGGTGGGCGCCGGGCCGGGCTCCGGGAGCTGGGGCGGCGCGCGGGTCCTGCACCCAGCCGGGGCCAGAGCTCCTCTTCCCGCCGCAGGTCTTCCTCACCGCGCTGCGCGCCCCGCAGCCAGCCCTGCGCTACTTCAGCACCGAGCGCTTCCTGCCCCTGGCGCGGCTGCGCCTGGACGACCTCAGCGGCCGCAGCTTCGTGGCCGCGATGCAGCGCGCAGTGTTCGCCGACGAGTCCGCCGAGGCCGGGGCCGGAGGCCTGGGGGCCCCTGAGCCCGGCGCTCCTCCTGCCACCCCGCAATAAAGGCTCCATCCTCCCCTGTCTCCCGTGCCTTCCTTTTCGTCCCGGGGCTGTGAGGTCCCCGGGGACAGGGCGGGGGTGGCGGCTGCACTGCGCTGGCGCATGCAGCAGTTAGGAAGGTGATTTAGGAAGGTGATTTAGAGAGATCACTTTAGTTCCAGGTATCCCCTACACGGAAACCCAGGTCCAGAAAGAGGAAGAGGCTAGTCCAGGGTCATATCTTAGGTCCACGGCAGAGGCAGAGCCAGGACGCAGTCTCGGGTGGGGGCTGTAACTCAGCCCTCATTAGGCAGAGATCTCAGGCAAGGTCCTTACTTTCTCTGGAGTCTGTTTTCTTATTTGTGAAATGGGAATAATAATACCTGTCTCATGGGTTTTATTAGGGAATAAATGAGATAATGTCTGAAAGTGCTGGTATAGAGGTCTTAATAGCAGGCTACGACTATTATTATTACTACTAGTACTGTGACTATTGCTATATTCCCATGTGGGCCAGATGTGTAAAGAAGGAACAGAGCTAAATGAAACAAAGGGAGAGACAGCCTCAGTCGCTGCCCTGTCCTTGGTCCTTGCCCTCTGCCCCCACAAGACTCAGCAGGAGAGATCCCCACCAGCGTGGACCCCACATCTCACCAGTCTGTGCGGCTGCGGCGCTAGGCCTGGCTGCTTTGCCCCACTGACTGGTCTGTCCTCCTTCCTGAGCCCAGTGGAGGGCTACAGAGTGTCAGGAGCCACTGATAGGGGCCAGCAGAGTCATGGGCACCCTCTCTTAATTTCTGTGGGAGTCTAGTGGGAAAGAGGAGTAGAGAACAGGTAGAGGCCAGGTGAGGATGTGCCAGAGGACAGGGGCAGGAGTGCCCCGGGAGAGGATGTTACTGAGATAGGGCTTAGGCTGGAATGGGGATCATATCTGAGAGGGAGGGGTGATGGCCCTTTGGAGCAGGCAGGAAGAGAACCTGGGAAGTGGGAATAGAGAGGAACCTACTTGGGTCTTTGGGGCTTTGTGGGGGACCTTGGGGGACAGAGGAACAACATCCTGACCTGCCCCTGCCTCCAGATAAGAGTCTTCTCTGGCCTTGTTGGACTGCCTGCTGCCTCTGCTTTTGGAGGAGGGGAGGGGCCTCACAGCCCGCCACCCCCCTCTCTCTGCACTGCTGGCTCAGACACAGATCTGTTGTCCCTACAGCATCCAGGAAGGGGAGAGGGCCAAAGTGGCATGAATTTCTTTTTCTTTTTTTTTTTTTTTTTGAGACAGAGTCTCACTCTGTTGCCCAGGCTAGAGTGAGTGCCGTGGCATCAGCTTAGCTCACAGCAACCTCAAACTCCTGGGCCCAAGCGATCCTCCTGCCTCAGCCTCCCAAGTAGCTGGGACTACAGGCATGCGCCACCATGCCTGGCTAATTTTTTCTATATATATTAGTTGGCCAATTAATTTATTTTTATTTTTATAGTAGAGACGGGGGTCTGGCTCTTGCTCAAGCTGGTTTTGAACTCCCAACCTTGAGCAATCCGCCCGCCTCGGCCTCCCAGAGTGCTAGGATTACAGGTGTGAGCCACCGCGCCTGGCCATGAATTTCTGAGGCATGGGACCTGTTCTCAGAGCCTGACTTCTTTGCCCCACAGTGTGTGTATGTGTGAGTGTGTGTGTATGAGTGTGTATGTATACACTCACAAGGTCACCGCTGGGGAACAGGGTGACAAGAGAGGCAATGTGTGACCTCTCTCTCTTGACCTTGAATCTGACTCCCACCTCTTTCTGACCTCATCTCACACCACTTTCCATCTCTGCCATCCAATTCAGCCTCACTAGCCTCCTGCCTCGTGCCATTTGCACTTGCTGTTCCCTCTGTCTGGCTCACTTTCCCCTGCTCTCTGATTCTAGCTCTTCCTCCACCTCTTGGTTTTCCTGGACCACCCTATTTAAAATAGCATTCCCTCTCCTCCACTATAGTCCCCCTAGTCTACTTTATTTTTCTTCATAGCCCTTATCATCAAATGTAATATAGATTTGTTTATTGTTTATTCACCACCCTCTCCCTGGACACACGGGAATCTAAGCCCCAGGAGGACAGGGACTTTGTTTCGTTCACTGGTCTGTCATTTGTGCCTAAAAATGTACCTACACATAGGATGCATTAAATACACATTTACTAAATAAAAGTGACTCTTACATGGCATATCAAACTGTGTGTAAAGATGTCTTGGGACATTCTCTGGCAGCCTTTGCTGTTTGTTTTTTCTGGCCCTCTGTTTAAAATCCAACTTATGTCTCTTTCAAGAAGCCTGGTCCTTCAGTGCCTTTGAGGCTCTACAAGTCTTCCATCCTTAACTCCAAAGGCAGGTCCAGGTTTTGTGGGGCTTTTACATTTTGGAGGCCCTCTTTAAAAATGCAGAGGCCTGGTGTGGTAGCTCCTCCCTATAGTCCCAGCTGAGGCAGGAGGAACACTTGGGCCCAGGAGTTCAAGGCTGCAGTCAGCGCCACTGCACTCTAGCCTGGCAACAGAGAGGGACCCTGTCTCTGAAAAAGACAAAAGACAAACAAAATTAAATATTAAAATGAACATTTATCTTAAAAAGTCAATATTTATTCAGTTTGGGAAAATAAACCACAGCACACTACTGGAATCTGGGAGGTTGGTTTCCCTTCCTTTTGAAATCTCCGTGGACAATTTATCTGAAATGTTTTCTGGTGGCAACCTGGTTTCTCCTCCACACCAAACCTACCAACTCCAGACTTTTCAGTACTCATTAGCTTCGTGCTGTATCCTCTACCCTGGATCTCCCACCCTTTTCTCCTGTCCACAAAGACCCTGGCAGCTCCACTGAGCTCACACGGAGAGTTCACCTCTCTTCCCCTGCGAACAGGTGCATCATTGGATCCGGGTGGTGCGGAGAGCCTCGTATAGCAGCCACAAGACCTGGCCTCTATGTGTTCCTAGAACATGCAGGGCTTCAATATTTCCATGTGTGAAATGGGTACTTCGACAGCACTGTACCCTCCCACATGACCGTCCTCGAACTGGGAGGGCACCAGTAAGGCTCTGGGAAAGCAGCGCAAGCCTGTGACACCCTCCCCTCCCCGCCCCCAGAATTCAGAAGGGAAGCCGGGTGTTAGTTCTGGCTTTGTCGTTGCCCTTGGGTGACATGGCTGAAGCCAATCTCTGCTCTCCGGGTCTGAGGAAGTGAGTGAAATGGGCTTTCAAACCTGCCTTGCCCTTCCGCTCAGTCCCGGCTGGGAGGCGGATCTGGGACGGAGGATTCCCTTATCCCCGGGCCCTTTGAGGGCAGCCCCGCCCCGCCCCGCCCTATGAGAAACCTCGCGAGAATCCCACTCATCTGGGAGGTTGAGATATTTGACCCTCTTCCGCTCCCGTAGCTCGGCGTCGCGGTTTCTGAGCGAGTGCTTCCGGGTGGCAGCCTGAGAAGCCTCCGCGGCGGTGCCAGCGGAACCAAAGCCCGGAGGTTTCAGTGAGTAGGGGACCGACCTGAGTTTGAGCGTTCCCCTTTAGTCTCCTTCTTCAGTTGCTTGAAGACCCTGGTGCAGCTTAGCAAGAGGGCCCAGGATTTCTGCATCCCCAGGCCCATGACTCAGGGGCTCCCGTCCAGTCCCCGCTTCCCCTTCCAGGATTTCGATTCAGTTTAGTGAAGTCACCACACTATATGAGAAATGAGGAGACCAAGGCTTAGAGCACAGCCCTGAGCGCCGTCAGCCAGGCCCTGTCCCCTACCCTCGTTCCTCTCGATCGTCACTGAGATCCTGTCCCTGCTCCAGGTCCCCTTCTCCCGGGTCTAAAGCCCCATGTAAGCCTCTGCCTTAGCCTCAGGCCCCTCAATTACCCTCGCTTTGTCTCCCTGACTGTCCACAGGCCTGGGAACCATGGCCGTATTCCGGTCGGGCCTCCTGGTGCTGACGACGCCGCTGGCCTCCCTAGCCCCTCGTCTGGCCCCCATCCTGACCTCGGCTTCCCGGCTGGTGAATCACACACTCTATGTACACTTGCAGCCGGGCATGAGCCTGGAGGGCCCGGCTCAGCCCCAGTCCAGCCCCGTGCAGGTCACGTTTGAGGTTCTTGATTTCATCACGCACTTATATACTGGCGCTGAAGTCCACAGGGACCTGGACGTCAGAATCCTGTTGACCAATATGCGGACCAAGAGCGCCTTTCTCCCTCCCCAACCCACTTCAGTCCAGAATCTCGCCCACCCACCAGAAGTGGTGCTGACAGACTTTCAAACTCTGGATGGAAGCCAGTACAACCCGGTCAAACAACAGCTAGAGCGTTATGCCACCAGCTGTTACAGCTGTTGTCCACGACTGGCTTCGGTGTTGCTATACCCGGATTATGGGACTGGGGAGCTGCCCATGGAGCCCATGGATGTTCCATTATTGTCCACGATCAGGCCTGCTTCCCCCGTGGCCAGATCTCCAAAGCAGCCGGTGCGTGGCTACCAACGCGGGGCTGTGGGTGGCACGTTTGACCGCCTGCATAATGCCCACAAGGTGTTGCTCAGTGTCGCATGCATCCTGGCCCAGGAGCAGCTTGTGGTGGGAGTAGCAGACAAAGATCTGTTGAAGAGTGAGTGAGAGGGACCCTGGATTAGGGCAGTGGAGGGCCCTCAAATCTCCCTCCACCCACCATCTTGCCCAGATAAAGGAAGAGTAGGGCCATCCATTATTTCCCACTCCTCCCAAATGTCATGGTGCCTGACACTCAATGCTAAGGATATTTTGTTAAATGAGTAAATGTAGATTTCTCAGCATGTGGTCCAGTTACCTCTCAATCAGAATTCCCCAAATGTGAAGCAAAGGAATCTGCACTTTAGTTCTCCAGTTGATGAACTCTACTGAGACACTGGGAATAAATGGATGAGTGAGTTGTAGGTGGTAGTGCCACAAACAATAAGAAGAGACTCAAGTATAGTGTGGTTCTTGAAATTCTCCATCTGACTCATGCCCACTGGCACTGCTAGTTATCTGGAGTACTTTCCTGATGGTTTGTTCTCTGAATACATGCCAGCCCTTGCAGTCAGTGACTATTGTGCTTACCTGGTTCTTTCCATTAATCCCCTCCCTAGACCCTACCCACAACCACAGACCTTCCCAATTTAACCCTTTCTTTCTGTTATGCCTCTCTGGAGATATGGTGCTTGGGGACACTCTTATCCAAACCGGCCCATACTCTTCCTCCCCAGTAAAAAGATCTCACAGTTCTTCTGGGCTCCTTCCTCAGGCAAGGTGCTCCCTGAGCTGCTCCAACCTTATGCAGAACGCGTGGAACACCTGAGTGAGTTCCTGGTGGACATCAAGCCCTCCTTGACTTTTGATATCATCCCCCTGCTGGACCCCTATGGGCCCGCTGGCTCTGACCCCTCCCTGGAGTTCCTGGTGGTCAGCGAAGAGACCTATCGTGGGGGGATGGCCGTCAACCGCTTCCGCCTTGAGAATGTAACCCCTGAGGGAGACTGGCAGAGGGAGTGGATGGGGATGGGGAAGGCTGTCAAGGGGGCTGTTGGAAGCATCATGACCCCAGAGGAGGGAAGAGGGGGCTGAGGGTGGTGGGAAGAGGGGGCTGAGGATGGCAGGAAGAAGCAAGGAGGAGCTAGTTCCCAGCTTGCCCGCTGCGGTGGAGGATCCTAGAGGAGGTAGGGAAGGACAAGGGGGCAGGCTGGGTATCAGGGTTTTGCCCTTCCTGTCATTCCCGCTTTCCCTGTCTCACCCTTTCCCCTTTACCTCAGGGCCTAGAGGAGCTCGCCTTGTACCAGATCCAGCTGCTGCAGGACCTGAGCCGCAAGGAAAATGAAGAGGACAAAGTCAGCTCCTCTAGTTTCCGCCAGCGAATGCTGGGAAAACTGCTTCGGCCTCCACACGTGAGCCTCCCCTTAGTCCCCCGTGTTTGAGTGTGCCGGAAATGCTGGTGAGTGGAAACGAAGGGGCACAGCCCCAAGCATGAGCCTGAGGGCCCTTGTAACTGTGGGTTCCTTTTCATCCACCCCTAGAATAGGCCAGAGCTCCCCCCGTCTCTCTACGTGATAGGGCTGACTGGCATCAGTGGCTCTGGGAAGAGCTCAGTAGCTAAGCGGCTGAAGGACCTAGGGGCATTTGTCATCGACAGTGACCAGCTGGGCCATCGGGCCTATGCCCCAGGTGGCCCTGCCTACCAGCCTGTGGTGGAGGCCTTTGGAACAGGTACTAACCGAGGAGTGCTGGAGGTGACCTGCAAATGAGGAGACAGCCTGGCCTCTATGCTCAGTCCTCTTTCTCTGTCACCCAGATGTTCTCCATAAAGATGGCATCATCAATAGGAAGGTGCTAGGCAGCCGGGTGTTTGGGAACAAGGTAAACACACACCTCCTAGGGTCCTCAGCTGCTACCAGCTGCAGGGGTTGGGTTATAGTAGACCTCTCTGGTTTGGTCCAGAATGCCCATTTCCACTTATCTGTTCCCAGCTGCCACCTCCCTTGGGCTGGCCCCTGTCTCTGAGGGAAGGTAACCTCTGCCCGCTCCCTCTATCCCCTTCCCCAGAAGCAGCTGAAGATCCTCACGGACATTATGTGGCCAGTTATCGCAGAGCTGGCCCGAGAGGAGATGGATCGGGCTGTGACTGAGGGTGAGTGGGAGGGATGATGGGAGCAGCCAAGGGGGACAGTGAAGTGGATTCTTCCCCTCAGAGTTTCCCTGCCCAACCCAGATCATCCACTTTCCCTGGGAGTGTGTTTCGTGGGTGCTCTGACCAGTAGCAAATGCTGCTGGCAGTGACGGGTCTCCCCACAGGAAAGCATGTGTGCGTGATTGATGCCGCTATGCTGCTTGAAGCCGGCTGGCAGAACATGGTACATGAGGTGTGGACTGTTGTCATCCCAGAGACTGAGGTATCTGGACCCCACCCGCCACCCTATCCTCACTGCAGACTGTATCCTGCTGAGCTGGAATCCTTTCTGACAAATGCCTCGTGTGTGCCCAGGCTGTACGGCGCATCGTGGAGAGGGATGGCCTGAGTGAAGCTGCAGCTCAAAGCCGCCTGCAGAGCCAGATGAGTGGGCAGCAGCTTGTGGACCAGAGCCACGTGGTGCTGAGCACTTTGTGGGAGCCACATATCACCAAGCGCCAAGTTGGTGCCCAGGGAAAGGCTGGGTTGTGGGGAGGGAGTCCCCAGTGGGTGCCTGCCTGACTGTCCTCCCAACATTCTGTTCTGCCCAAAGGTGGAGAAAGCCTGGGCCCTCCTGCAGGAGCGCATCCCCAAGACTTATCAGGCCCTTGACTGAAAATGGTTCTCTGTGGGGCCACACTTGCCCCTGGAGCTGCTGAGATCCAGGGGTGAGGAGAAGTGGGGGCCTTGGTGCTCACCCTGGCTCAGGCCTAGAGGTCTCCAGGCTAGCTGTGCAGGACATGGCTGGGCCTGGTGGACACAGGCAACCTACTGAGCATGTTGGGGTTTGGCCAGCACCAAGGATGTGGCTGGTGTGGAGCAGGCCCCTCTGGGCTTCCGTCCCCACTCTTGCCTGGTGATGCCTGATGCCCTCAGCTGACTAGAGTCAGGGCAAACACTGAACTTGTAACATTATTAAAGGTGAATGTTTCCAGATGCTGTCTGTATGGTGTCTGCTTTGGGATCTTTATGCCACCAGTGCAGGGTCAGGCCTGAGCTGGAAGCACAGGAGAGCAGTAGTTCGAGTGTGGCCTTTGACGGTAGCCAGACTGAGGTCAGCCTTGGCCCTGCTGGTGACTAGCTGTGTGTCTCTGAATAAACTGTAGACTTTCTAGGTCCTCAAACCTAAGGCAGCATAATCAGCTCAGAGGCTCTTTGCAAGGGATTCCTTAAAGTAGTGTGAGGCGGGACCTCTGTCCTCACGGAGCTTGCAGCCTGGTGGGCTGAGACGATGTAACAGGGGAGCTCTGCCTGGTTCCTGACACTGGCCAGAACTGCAGGTCAGGGAACGAGAGGAACAGCATAAGAGCTAGGGCAGGGCGAGGCTGAGCAACCTAGTGAGCTGGCTGAGCCAGGCAGTGCGCGTGCGCACAATATTCAGACAAGCCTTTTGAGGGGACTCCGTTTTACATAATGTCTTCCTATCACTGCAATTGTAGGTCCTAACCCGGGGGAGGGCATGGACAGACCGCGAGCAAGTCTCTGGGGCTGCGGACATTACCCAAACGCCAGGCTTGGGCGCAGGCCGACGTTTGCAGCCTTAGGACGGCGCATGTGCAATCGTCTCACCCCGCCCTCCGCCTCTCGGTCGCGGATTGGTGGGCTTGGACCACGTGGTCACGCCTCGCCCCCTTTCTCGCGGCCAGTGGCCCGCCCGCTGGCTTGTTTCCGGTTCGGTGGGTCCAAGATGACGGAGCCGGGCGCTTCTCCCGAGGACCCTTGGGTCAAGGCAAGCCCCGTGGGCGCGCACGCCGGCGAGGGAGGGGGGGTCGGGCTCGTGGACGCAGGGCGTCCGGAAGACCAGGGGCTTCCCTCCTGTCCCCAAAGTTCCCCCCGCTCTCCGGGCCCCGGGGCTGCAGAGAAGACAGGCTCTCTCCCCGCGTGTGCCAAGGTGGGAAGACAAACGAAGAAGCGTTTGTGCGCGAGTGTGGGGGGCTGGGAGTTGAGGCGGAGAAGTGGGGACAGAAGGGGTCATACGGAAGGGCGGCGCTCCAACGGCCTGTCCAGTCTTGCCTCGCTTCTCGGGGGGAGTCATTCAGCTGCCTTTGCACCCCGGTGCGTGTGCGTGTGTGTGTCAGGTGTGTAGTAGAGAGGCGCCTTCCCCCCGGGGTGTGTGTGTGCGCGCGCGAGCAGAGTGATGGAGGTGCCTTCCCCCAGAGGCAGAGGTCTGACGGGCTTCTCCTTTGCTCGGTGCCACAGGTGGAGTATGCCTACAGCGACAACAGCCTGGATCCTGGTGAGTGGTTCCCCCGCCGTCTTCAGCTCTCTAGATTTTTGTGGCCTTGCCAGCCACACCTGAGCACAGTTCACCACTGTCCCTGAGCTGAGTTCCTGGCCTGAGACAGCAAGGGAGGAGCTGCAGGACCCTGAGGCAGGAAGCAACTGAGGGTGACAGTTCCCTCTGTGCTGGAGCAGGGAAGTGATGGAAATACTGGCAGCTGCTTACTCTCACCCTCATCACGTCCAGATGCCCCTTTGTGAGCCAAGAGGGTACTGCTGCAGACCTATGGAGCAGTGTAGACACTAGGGATAGGCACATTGCAGCAGTGGGTGGTCCAGAATGGCTGGCTTTGGGTTGAAGGGGAGAGGTTGGCATTTAAGAAAGCCATTGTGCCCGCAGGTGTCTGAGGGCCTGGCAGTGTTCCACCTCACTCCTTAGTGATTGGGGCCTCTCTTTTCTAGGGCTTTTTGTAGAAAGCACCCGCAAGGGGAGTGTAGTGTCCAGAGCTAATAGCATCGGTTCTACCAGTGCCTCTTCTGTCCCCAACACAGGTAGGCAGCAACATCCCCCGACCTCAGGGGACTCAGATATGCCATCATTTAGTAACTTTCCTCAACAGGGAAACTTCGCCATCCACACGAGGGTGCTGGAGTCCATTTGCTAGACACAGGGTCCCACTACCTTTCACCTCACCTAGGACATTAGGTTCTTCTGTCCATCTGCCATCTCTGGGCACCAGATTCTTTCCAGTTGGGAAAAGGTGGGCTAGCTGGGTCCCACGGGCTCCAACATGACCTCTCCCTGCCCCTAACTCTGAGTGTAGATGACGAGGACAGTGATTACCACCAGGAGTCCTACAAGGAGTCCTACAAAGACCGGCGGCGGCGAGCACACACTCAAGCTGAGCAGAAGAGGAGGGACGCCATCAAGGTGATGGGGATGCTTGTGCCTTAGCCGTGTGGAGGGTCCTGCATGTCTGATTCACCCTGCCCTGATACATAGAGAATCCCAAGCAGCCTTGTGGGTAACTAGTCTAGTCCCCTTTGAACACCTTCCTCCTTCCAGTCTCCTTACTCCTTTGAGTTTATAAGCATGGAACTCACTGTCATGGAAGAGCTTAATCCCTCAGGATTAAGGAACCCATTTCCCTTGCTGTTTCCACAGAGAGGCTATGATGACCTTCAGACCATTGTCCCCACCTGCCAGCAGCAGGACTTCTCCATTGGCTCCCAAAAGCTCAGCAAAGCCATTGTTCTACAAAAGAGTATGGCCGGGGAGAACACTGGAGGGGTGGAGCCAATGGGGGCTGTGAAGAGGCCAGTGCCTCATACCCTTTCTTGGCCTGGCCCTCATGTGCTGGTTATAATGGGATAGTTGGGTGTGAGGGAAGGGTAAACAGAATCAGCCCTGTCCTCCTGGTTGAGACTACCTCTGTGCCTACTCCCTCTTCTCACCCCTACCCCAGCCATTGACTACATCCAGTTTTTGCACAAGGAAAAGAAAAAGCAGGAAGAAGAGGTGACCACGCTACGCAAGGATGTCACGGCCCTGAAGATCATGAAAGTGTAAGAAGGGTGCTGAAATGGGGAAACCAGGTCTTCTGAGGTGACTTAAGTGCACACCCACTCATGGTTCAAAGGCCACATCAGATAATAAAGTACAGATACCCTCACTTCCTGGACTCTGCACCCCCAACTGTCCCTTTACATATGGCAGACACTCAGGAATGCATGTTGGATTAATGAAGGGAAGGTTGAAGAAGGTCACCATTTTTGGCCTTGAAGCCATACCTAGCTGATGCTAAATCCATCCCCAAAACTCTCTGGTTATCTCCTTCCAGGGGGTACATGGGGTTATCCATCCTTCTTCCTGGGCTGGTAGAGCTGCTGCAGCACTCAGCCCTGGCCTGCATGCTTTCAGGAACTATGAGCAGATCGTGAAGGCACACCAGGACAATCCCCATGAGGGGGAGGACCAGGTCTCCGACCAGGTCAAGTTCAACGTGTTTCAAGGCATCATGGACTCTCTGTTCCAGTCCTTCAATGCCTCCATCTCTGTGGCCAGCTTCCAGGAGCTGTCGGCCTGTGTCTTCAGCTGGATTGAGGAGCACTGTAAGCCACAGGTATGGGGCAATAGGGTCTGCGGGTCTCCCCTACCCTCAAAGTGGTCTAAGCCATTATCCGTTCAGAAAAGCATGGCAGCCACTTTTAGGCTTCTTGAGGGTATTTCTACAACTTTCAGTACTGTGTTTCCCACCTTTGCTGTCTAACCCACATTTTCATTTATGGTTTCATTTGGCAAGTGTGATGTGAGCACTCATTCAATGCCAGGTCCAGCTCATAGCTTTCGTGTAGCCCAAGCTATTGCCGCCTCATTAGCCACCTACAGCAGAATTCCATGGAGTTTTCGGAAACATACAGATTCCGGAACTTCCACCCCCACTAAAGTAGTTGCTCTAAGGGCGTTTTATCATTTATTTGTAGTAGAGAGATGTGCTAATGGTATTTCACTAAGTCTTCTGTTTTTGTGGCCTGGTTGCTTTATCTGAGGCTTGAACTCCTATCTGAGTCTTTTGTTTCCCAACATTTTTATGGTGAAACACTTTAAACATACTATAACACTGACAGAATTTTATGACCATTCACATATCCACCACTTAAATTCTACCAGTAATATTTTAGTGTGTTTCCATCTCTCAACCCTGTGTTGGGGGCCTTTCAAAGTAAACTATAGGCATCAATACTTCCCAGGGGCTATTTTTAATGCACTGTTCTAAAGAGCACACCTGGTCTGGCCAGGCATCTTTGAAATGTCTCTGTCTTGACCTGAGCATTGTCTATCTCTTCCTCTTTTGGCCCTGCCAGACCCTACGGGAGATTGTGATCGGCGTCCTGCACCAATTGAAAAACCAGCTTTACTGACTGGCTCATGGAAACCTGCATAACAGCCAGCAAGAGCCCTTTGAGTCTCTATATTTGGCCATGGAGCTGCTGGGCCCATGAGCTTGGACTGCAACACCTCACACTGGTCAGCTGGTTTCTGCTGGGTGTTTGGTTTTCCTAGCCCCACTTCATTTTCAGTGGGGTTGGGGTGTTTATTTTGTGAAAGCTTCTGATTAATTTATTATTTTGACCATAAAACTCAAACCTGCCCAGTCTTTCCTCTCCCTTTGGACATCCTCAGGACCAGAGTCTGCTCTGGGCACCCCAAAGAGATCCTGGCCTTTTAGCCCTCTCTCTAAGCCTCAGACTTAATCTACATATATTTGGAAACTGTTTGCCTCTGTTTTGGTCTCTTGGGCAACATTTGGCCCAAGTTTAGCCATTTTGGCAGGAGAAAAGGAGTAAGAAGAAATATTCCCACAGCCACAAAAGGTGAAAGGCCACCTCGTGCCTAGACTAGGGCTACCCAGTCAGTCCACGGTGAGGCGAGGGCTTTCCGGCTAGCTTAGAGTACGGCTGCCAGTTTCTTCCCCTGCTCTGGGTGGTAGGGAAACAGCCTTACCTACTCCTGCCCTCTTGGTTCCCACAGGCTGTTGCGCTGCATGGCAAAGGCAGATGTGACACAGCACTACATATTTGAAGTTTTTTATTTTTCTAAACACCAACAGTGCAACTTTGTTAAAGCTACAATTCTGGAAAATTAACTGGGCCTCAAAACCACCCCCAGCCTTTCTGTCAAGTATATCTGGGCCTCTATCATCTCAGTGTTGCCTGTATTTCTCCCAGGACTTGGGATATGGAAGATACTCAAAAGGTCTCCTGGGTTATAAGCCCAAGATGAGTCCTGGGTGAACCCTGGGCTCCTCAAAATGCTGGTGTATAGCAGCTTCTCTGTACCCTTGTCCCTCAGGCTCCTTTCTGCCTGCCTCAGGTTTGATATCTGAGAGGCTTGACTATCCAGAGGAAATTAAGTATTTTTATATCAAATTATATTACAATAAATAATGCCAAATGCTTTCTTTTGGCACTGTTTCAAGTCTAAGTGCAAGCCATTGCAATATGGACAATGAAATGGGCGTGATCACCCACTCTTGGCCACCAGCCTACACTCCCTCTGCCCAATACTCCAGTTTACCTGACCAAAGGTGGAAAGCAGCAGGCACAACAATAACAACCATAACAAAAGCCAACCTAACAAGGTAGCCAGTCCAGAACATCTTGTTTCCATCTCCCAGTCCCAACAGAGGGCCTCAGGGGTCTGGGAGCTTGACGTTGTAATCTTCATCTGTCTCTATCCCAACTTCCTCCTGTGGGCCAGGGAGACAAGTGAATGAGATATCCCTGGGCAAAGACCCCAGAGGAGCAGATAAGGGTGAGATTACCACTTACAAAGAACTGCTTCTTGCTCTTGGGGTATCCTTCAAGGATTGCATCAGACAGCTCTGTTGCCTGACAAACAAAACCATGATGGGCAGTACAGGGCACTCCCTGTGGGACCCATGATATTGTACGGTGGTTTCTCTGGTGGCTGCCATTTTCAAAAGCACTTCCAGGGCCTGCCTTGGAGCTCCCACACACTTACCATCCTCTTCCGCTTCCTCCATTCCTTACAGTATTTCTGCCTCTGTCTGTATACCTAGAAGGAAGAAACAGGTTCCTCTAACCCCTCAAAACCACAGCAGGCTGCTGGGGGTCAGCCTTCACATTCACTCTGGACCTACTTGCCAACCCTCCAGCCTCCCTCCCAGCTCACCTGCTCTTTTTCTTCTGGGGTCACATGGTTGGTAGCTGCTTTGATATTCTTCAGTCTCTCTGTGTATACAGCACACTCCTTCTTTAACTCTTCAATCTCTTTCTGCATCTCTGGTGTGGTCAGGGCACTAGCTAACTCCTTCAGCTCTGAAACCACATCCCCCTGGGGGTCACTTGCTACCCTTGAGGAGGGTGGTCTATCTTTCCCAGTGGGTGCACCCTGAAGTGGGAGACAGGATTCCACCATGCTGTGGGATCTTTCCAGAATAAAGTCCCACATTCTGGAAAAGCTCCGGAAAATAAGACTTATAGGATAATGAGTTTATTTCTCTTTCCCCCTCCATCTACGGGTAGTGATGGGGTGTGAGGTTGGGGAGACTTAGGTGGAGCCAGTTAAAGAAGCAGGAATAAAGGGAAACGGAACAGTGCACTGAAAATCATGACACGGAAAGCAAATGCATGCCTTGCCCATTTGTGCACAAAAGCCCATTAGTTGTTCTACATTTCTTTTAATATAATACCTAAGGCAGCCCAGCAAAAGGGTCTCAGCTGCCAAGCAGATGCTGTAATCAACCACCTGTTCACTTAGTAATTCCTAACCTGTAGACTGAACCTGACCCTTTGGGCACCTTTTGGGGGCTACCCAGGCCTACCAGCCTCCATGTGGCGGCAGGTCTGCTGCAAGCTCTGCACCTTAGCAGTGAGGTCCACGATTTTGGCATCCAGGCATTGGAGGTCAGCATCACTTACCATATCAAACTGTTCCTGCCAGAGATAAGAAAAATATAAGGCACAAAAAAAGATGTGAGCCACAAAGATAGGAAACATACATCTGGGAAGGCAGCATTCAGATACACTCAAGAACCTGGTATTGGCCAGTGCGGTGGCTCCTGCCTGTAATCCTAGCACACTGGGAGGCTGAGGCGGGCGGATTGCTCAAGGTCAGGAGTTCAAAACAAGCCTGAGCGAGACCGTCTCTACTATAAATAGAAAGAAATTAATTGGCTAACGAACATATATAGAAAAAAATTAGCCGGGCATGGTGGGGCATGCCTGTAGTCCCAGCTACTCGGGAGGCTGAGGCAGTGGGAAAGCTTGAGCCCAGGAGTTTGAGGTTGCTGTGAGCTAGGCTGATGCCACGGCACTCACTCTAGCCTGGGCATCAAAGCGAGACTGTCTCAAAAAAAAAAAACTCAGTTGATGGGCCCGGTGTCTCGCACCTGTAATCCTACTACTCTGGGAGGCCGAGGCCAGAGGATTGCTTGAGCTCAGGAGCTCAAGACCAGCCTGAGCAAAAGCGAGACCTCGTCTTTACCAAAAATAGAAAAATTAGCTGGGATAGGTGCTATTTGCCTGTAGTCCCAGCTGCTCGAGAGGCTGAGGCAGGAGGATTGCTTGAGCCCAGGACTCAAGGTTGCAGTGAGCTACGATGATGCCACTGCACTCTAGCTGGGGTGACAGAATGAGACTATCTCCAAAAAAAAGAAAAACTCAGTTGAGTACTGGTCCCACTAAAAAGGTATGAAAGAAAAGCTGAAACTTAATGCCTGTCCTCAATGAGCGACCAGGTTGGTAGGATACTGAATAAGACAGAAATATCTTCCCATTTAGTGATAAAACCACTCACTGGGCTTAAAGTATAAAGTAACATTTTTTTCCAAGGTGGTGAAAGCCACCCAGATCATGGGTTGTTACAATAGGAAGAATCAGGACAGCTTAAAAGACATGATGGGATCCATTTAGATGAGGGACTCCAGTAAAAGTCTGAGGAGCTCCGCAGGAGGGACTGCTGCTAGAAAAGGACTGTGTTAGGGATCAGTAGGGGTCATGTCAGTTGGTGATGGGGAACAGGTTAGAAAAGATAAGAATGCCAACTTAGGCAGTTTGGACTCTATACTTAGGGCAAGGTGAACCTTTAGAGCAGAGGCCAGCAAGCCAAATCCTGTCAGGTGCATGTTTTTGAAAACAAGATTTTATAGAAACAGCCATGCCCATTTGTTTGCATAGTCTATAGCTGCTTTTGCTCTACAATGGCAGAGCTGAGTAGTTGCAATAGTTGTATACCTGTGACAAGCAACTATATATCCCACAAAGTCTAAAAACACCGTGTAGCCACTTATAGAAAAAGTTTGCCAATCTCTCCTCTAGAGGATTTTCAATAGAGTAACATAACGAAGCCTGTTTTAGGAAAATTTGCCTTGAAGGTGGTTTGGTTCAGTTAAATAAGTAATGTCTAATGGATGTTAGATAGAGTGGGGGTGCGGAGATAAAAATGAATTGAGAAATAGAGTCTGCCCTAGAGAACTTCGATTTAGCGAAGGAGACAAGTGAAAAAGACAATTACAGGCTGGGCGCGGTGGCTCACGCCTTTAATCCTAGCACTCTGGGAGGCTGAGGTGGGTGGATTGTTTGAACTCAGGAGTTCGAGACCAGCCTGAGCAAGAAGAGCAAGACCCCATGTCTACTAAAAATAGAAATTAGCTGGACAACTAAAAATATATAGAAAAAATTATCCGGGCATGGTGGTGCAAGCCTGTAGTCCCAGCTACTCAGCAGGCTGAGGCAGAAGGATTGCTTGAGCCCAGTTTGAGGTTGCTGTGAACTAGGGTTAATGCCCTGGCACTTGAGCCTGGGCAACAGAGTGAAAGTCTGTCTCAAAAAAAAAAAAAAAGACAATCACAATACAACATGCGTCAAAAGAGGTAAGAGCTGAAAAAGAAGCAATTAGCTCAAATCATTCAGGGAAGGTTTCTGCAGAAGGTGATGCCTGAGTGAAATCCTAAAGAATAAGTAAGAGTAAGCTAGGCAAAGAGACAGAAGGAACTAAACTAAAGCTGGCAGAGGGAAGACAATGAGCAAAGGACAAAGGAGTAAAACACATCTGAATTGTCTAGTACTGATAGATGGAGAACTAACAAGGATAGGAGAGGCCAGAGGCTGGCCTAGGGCAAGTCTCCAAGTGCCATTTTCCTGTTGTGGAGCACCAGGGAGACACCAAGATCTGCGTTTGGATAGATCATGCTGGCTGCAATGTTTAAGATATATTTGAGGAGGTGAGATCTGTTAGGATATTGCAATAGATGAAGAGAGTCTGAACTATAGCAACGATGGCAGATGGAGAAAGTAGATTCAAGAAAGGAAAATCAGCTGGACTTGATAATTGACTAGACATGTGGGATAAGAGAAGTCTAGAGTTACTCCCCGGCCGGGCACAGTGGCTCACACCTGTAATCCGAGCACTCTGGGAGGCAGAGGTGGGAGGATAGCTTGAGCTCGGGAGTTTGAGACCAGCCTGAGCAAGAGTAAGACTTTGTCTCTACTAAAAATAGAAAAAAAACAAAATTAGCTGAGCAGTGGTGGTGTGTGCCTGTAAACCCAAGATGTTGAGGTTGCTGTGAGTTAGGCTGATGCCACGGCACTCACCCAGGCAACAGAGTGAGACTCTATCTCAGAAAAAAAAAAGACTCCCAAATCTGGTTTGGGTGAAGAGTGATTCCATTAAGGGAGAAGAATATTAGGAGCCACTTTGGGGGAAAAGATGAGGCATTCTTTCTCCTTTGACAGTATTATGACATCCATTTCTATATTCCTGTTCCTTCCCTTGCTTCTCCTATGGAGAAGCAATAATTCCATGGGGGATGGCAAAATAGAACTTAACAAATGGCTCAGTGGCATTTGAGAGGCTCCAGGTGGAGGTCTGGACTGAAAAAGACAAATTTGATGTGTTTAGGGAGGGAGGTAGAGGCAGAGGGTGGTGCTAGTCTAGATGATAGGGAATAAGAGCTTATAAGCGAAATGGATCTTCTGTCATTCATATTGCAAATCTGGAAACTTCAATAAGTGGATCATAGCAAGGGCAGTACACACCTTGATTTAAGTATGTCTAAGGTCCCTGTAATGGCATAAGACAGATGAGTTTCATGGTGTGCCTCAACTTTCCCCAAAACTTGATACTAGGAGTTGATTTACCCCGTGTCGGGCTCTCACACAGGTGATAATCTGTGCAGGATTCTCCTCACCTGATCGGCAAAATAGATCTTCTGCTTGCCATACATCTTCTCTTTGATCTTGCCTTGTTGGGCCAGCTGGTCCAGCGCCTTCACCACCGCCTGGCAGAGGGGAGGGAGCGGGGCCATCAGAGGAGTCTTTGGGGCAGGGCAGGGAGAATTTCAGCCAGTGATAAGGAAAGCGCCCAAGGCTCGGAAGGGCAGGACTCCAGACTGATTCGCGAGGGTCCCACTGGGAGGGGATCCTGGGAAGAGGTCCTCACCGCCTTGCCCAGTCCGTGATCCCGCTGCAGGTTCCCGAACACGTCCTGGGCGCTGTAGGGCCGGTTCTGCTCCTGCAGGTACTTCAGGAGGATGCTGGCGGCTGCGGAGAGACGAAGTATAAGAGGGGCCACCTAACCGACCTCCTCGCCCACTCTCTTCCCGGGTCTCCCCCGCGCCCACGCCAGCGTTACCTCCCGCCGCAGCTTCTGCCCGGCCTTTACTCATGGCTTTTCCCGCCGCCAAACTCAGCCGGTCGTTGTAGTTGCTCCGGGTGACGCCTCCTTCCGGGGACGGGGGGCGGGCTCAAGCGGTGATTGGCTCAACTAGTGAAGCCCGCCCGGGGACGGCAGCGACCCTTCCCGGACGCCGTAGTTCACTTCTGCCTGGCGCCCTGGCGCCCGATCCCCAAGCTCCGGGCGCACGGTTTTGGACCTTCCCCTGCTTGCCCCCGGGAACGGAGGCTGTGGTAAAGAATGTCTTCAAGTTTCGAGACCCAGTTCCAGCCATGGCTGATCACTTTTGACCTTGAACTAGGCCCAGTTTTAGAACGGGGAGACACTTCAGGGATCAACTCCCGTGCAGGGCAAGCGACCAGCTCAAGGTCATAGGACTAGTTACCCACAGGGACGTGTCCTGATCCCATAGTGCAGTGCCCTTTCGTCGGCTAGTTTTGTCACTTGTAAAATAGGTACAGTAGCTACAGTAGGTGGTTGTGAAAAAATAGGAAGCGTTAGCGCCTCGGAGAGCGTTTACACGCGCCTCATTTGCCCGTTACCGAGCTTTGCACCGAGGGGGCGCTCGACACCTGCTGTGGTTTGAACGCCAAGGAAAGGTCGGATTGGGAGCGGGTTACTCTTAAACCGCAAAGCTTGTAGAAGTTTGTTAATCTCTCGGCAATCTCAAGGCAACACCTGGCAGGTGCTTTCCATTCCTGACCACAGTGACCAATGGGACAGAGCCTGAAATAAATATTTCTAGTTTCTGAGGTCAGCTGAAGGCCGAAAAGCAGCTGTCCCTGCAGCTCAAACAATCCAGTGGAGGAGCATGGTGCTATTTTTTTAAAACTCTCTGCTATCAAAAACTTCCTTAGCCTATGAAACGTGCTTGTCTTCGCATATTTAGAAACGATGGAACTGCAAGCTAAATGCCAGCCAAGAGTCCCAGTTATGCTCATATCTAGGCTCCCTGAGGGAGGGAAGTGGCATCATACTATAGTGATTGTTCTGGGCATCACAAAGGAAAAACAGAAGTGGACCTGTGGGGTCTCTCACACCTGGTCTTCCTCTTCTGAGGTTGTCACCTCCTCAAATTAATCACGACTCAGATTAATAAGAGAAAACCTATCAAGGGTAGGACACCATTCAACATCAGTCTCTTAAAAGATTGTTCTCATACAAGATTTATTCCCCAGCACCCACCCACCCACCCTCAATTCACAGTGGAGGACTAAGGAGATTCAGAGCACGATCCCCCAGGTACAAGAAACACCTTCCAAAGGTTTTGCTCTCCTTCCTTCCCTCCCTCCTCTTGCCAACTCCCAAGGCCTGAACCTACACTCATGCAAACATACAAAATCCCACTCCTTTCCACACCTGTTTTTCCAAATCAGGAGCTCACATATAAGACACCTGGGCTCTGAGAAAAGAGAAGGTGTACAAAGTCTAAGAACTCTAAAGTGGGGGAATGCCACTACCCCTGACTGTCACACAAAGGTGACCGTGAGATAGGCACCAGCTCTTCTCCCTTCTCACTGTTAACCATTTTCACTCCCTGGTCTCTGTACCTTGTCCATTAACCAAGAGCAAACATGTCAGCACACCCCCACCTGCAGCATGTGAAATAGGCTCTGTCCAACATCCCTCACCCAAGTATGGGGGTGTTGGGGGAGTGGTCCCTGAGGATCAGCAAAGGGTTAATGCAGAAAGAACGAGGACAGAAGAGTTTGGCTTGGCTCTGACTGGGGAGGCAGAGAGAGGCTGTAGGCTGGCACAGGTTTAAAACCAACTACCATTTTTGGGTTTTTCTCTTACATGATTTTACTAGGGGCCACAGAATAGATACCCCTCAAAGGGGTCTCTGCTTATGATAATCAGACATATTTTTGCTAACTGGGCTCATCCTTAAAGGAGGCCCTGCCAAGTTGGGAAGCAGATGAAAGTCAAAGCAGTAAAGTAACTGAGCAGGGACTAAGAACAGCTGGTGGAAGAAGAGCTTGTGGCTCCTGGGATGAATGCCACAGAGCCATTTGTAAAGTGCTACTTTGCCATCCCCCATGGAATTATTGCTTCTCCAAAGGAGAAGCAGGGGAAGGACCAGGAACATAGAAATGGGTATGGTATTGCTTTGCTCACTGCTCAGGCTGATGGTCAAATGGAGCCAGGGGTTAGCAGCACCAAAGACAACCACACAGCTCCAGAAGATTCAGTGATAGAGAATCTCAAGATACAGAGGCACTCACTAACCCTCCCAGCCAGCTGACCCTCATGACCCAAGGTGATGTAGGAGAGGCCCATCCCCACAACATGTTCACATTTCTTAAATTTCATAAGCAATACTTTGGAGCACTGAGGGTCAGGCCTCAAAAAATGAGGATGACTAGGGGAGAGGGAGCATGCCTGTTGTGCAGAACCAAAGAACAAGCTTGCTTTTAAAAAACCAAATCAAATCCTGGTTTAACAAAATAAAATGGTAACAATGTAACTCTCATAGCTGCTGCATGACTTTTGGGGCTATATGGAGGTGATGAAGGGAGGAAGGGATGGAGTCTTTACCAGTGAGGGCCTCTGAGCACCCATACCTAAAAGCAAACAGCAGCACCTCCTCAAAGGGGAACCAATATCCCTGACTACTTTGTTCCCCCAAAAATACCATCCTGAAGGAAAGAAGCCTCCCTCAGGGGAGCACACTCTCACTTCAGTGACTGAGCTCAGAAATGTGTGTCCAGCTGGTAGTTGGGGAGTATCCTCTATAAGCAGGCCTCTGAGCATCAGTCAGGCCACCCAGCATACGAATATAATTCAGGGGATGGGAGCTGGGTTCTTCCCTTGCCCCGTCACCTTAAGTGGGATGGGGAGAAAAAAAACCTAAACCATGGTGACCCCCAAAAGGAGTCTCTGCCTCAGTGGCTCCTGGAACTGGCAGGGTCCAGCTGATTTAGTTCTGACTGATCCAGAAGTTCAAAGTCATCCCCCTCAGCATCAGTGTCCAGGTCTGAACTGGGGGACCGGAGGAAGCCTCTTGTTGCTCTCCGGGAAGGTGGGCCAGAAGGGCCAGGCTGGGAGGCCCCTGATAAGGCCAGCTGGATCATACCCTGGGAGACCAGACTGGCAAGGTTGCTGGTGAGGTTGGATCCTACAGGCAGAGAACCAAGCAGGAGCTCTGGCAGTGCAGCCTCATCCCGACTGGCAGGGGGGACCTGGGGCTCCTCAGCCCCCGATGGGGAACGATATGTCAAACTGGGCATGCCAATGCTGGTGTCGTCCTCATCATCCAGGCCAGCAGGATCCACATTAATGGAAGGGAAGTCTGGAAGGTCTCTGGCAAAGGATTCCTCTGGATCACTGTGACCATCTAAGTCTGGGAGAATACAGGGATGTCTAAGACATGGCAACTACCTGGCCCTCCTATGGCCCCAGACCTATAAAATGGCCCACATAGCCAAACTGTTTCCACCTTGGATTTCTCAGGGTGAACCAAAACCCATGGGACTGGTTTAGTTTTTCACCCCTCCTTATTGATGGCTGTGATCTCTACTGACCAGAGAACTCCCCATCTCTTCTTCTACTATGTCCCTCATGAAGCTAGAGCCTGAAGCTACTAAGAGACAGCGGGCTTCAAGAAAAGCCGCAGTGCTATCCTGTCTGCAGCCACACCCCTCAGGCTGCTTTGCCACTTGACCTACAGCTCAGAAAACAGGAGAATAGGGGCTATCAGTATCCCCTCTGTTCAGGGAAGCTGAGGCAACATTATCAACTCAGGTCAAAGGTTCCCCTCACCTTCAGAGCCTTCTGTTAGAGGTGTTTGGCCCCTTGAAAGATTGAATGTGCCATTGTCTGTACAGGAGACCTCAGCATCCGAGTGCTCAGAGTCTGTGATGGCCAATTCCCTTGCAACAGTAGAATCATCCAGCTTAGGAAAAGAAAAGACCAATAAGCCTGAGGTGATGCCATTAGGAACAAAATGCAGTCCCCATCCAAAGCTTTACTAATTAGCTGGCCTTAAAGGCTACCTGAAGGCCATCAGTGTAACCAGGGACTTTAGTCAAAATCTTGACATTTTTTAGGCTGCTCTGCCAAAGAAAACACTCTTATTCACTCATTTCTTGAGCACAGGAAGAAAAGCAGTCTTAGGAATCAATTAGCCACTTACTCATAAGCAAGTAATTGATTCAGAGATAACTGTTCACAGGTGGCCAGGAGGATACACATAGTGCCCAGACCAAGGATGGGCTGAGATTTTTAAAAGATGATCACACCAGCTCCACAAGTTCTTTCATGGTAGGGTAAAAGGAAACATAGAAGAGGGTGTGCTGGACTTCAGACTTAAATTGAGATCTAGGTACAAAGTCCCAGTATAACTCTAGCTTCTCTCCTTGTCACTGCTCTTGGGAGCAAGGGGAGTCCAGGGCTTGGAGAGGCCATGATGAGCTTAAAACTTGGTTACTGCCTAAATGTGAGCTGCCAGGTGGTTAAAAGGGAACTAAAGAAAACTGGCCCGTGAAACAGCTCCCACACTCAAGATACCTGAGGACAGAAGGCAGCAAGCTCTTCTTCGCTGTCACTGTGGTTGTCCATGGCCCGTTCTGGATGTAGAGCTCTGCGGCGCACTGTGTGGAAAGAACAGAAAGCTGTGATGCCTTCCCTGGGGATGTGGGATGGAATCCTTCCCTTTGGACTTCAAAGGCATAAAATCAGAACAAAGGAAAGAGACCCTGTAAATATGGCCCTAAGCCTACATAACAATACTTGAGGGCAGAGCTGCTGAGCCTAAGCAACAAGGAGACCTAATAAGACCAGAGAAAGATCTCTCTTCCAACATCCTTCCCTCCACATTTCCCTTAACCTCTACACATCTCTATCAAATGTCATGCAAAAGGCAGACCTGATGTCAAGGTAGTAAGTGGACATTATCATAGGGAGGGCAAAAGGAGATACCCACCTTGGTTAAAATCAGGCTTCTGAGGACTAATACTATTCAAATGGCTGCCCTAGGGGTAGCTGGGCCTTAGTGATCATGTGCAGGGCTCACTGAAGGCGAAGGTTTAATGAAACACCCAACCTGACAAGACCACAGAAGAGAGGTAAAAGTTTGCACTACCATAATTAATGTATTGGATGGATCTCAGGCTAGTACACTTCTGACTCTGAAGCAGCAGTTTTTAATCACCTTTGGGAGGCAGCTTTCAGTATTGAAGAGGCCAGGCTTAGGAGCTGAAGAGACCTGCTCTGACATTTACTACCTGTGAGTGTCAATTTCCTCAATTAGAGAAGGAGTTAATATCACTCCTCAAGGTTATTGTAAAGATTAAATAAAACAGTAAAACAGTGCCCACAGAGTAGCCAGCACAGTGCTTGGGCACATGTGAAGCGCTTCATAAACAGCAGTGAATAACTAGGGATATCTTAGTGATGATATCCCTAGTTATTATCTAAGAAGATCTTAGAAGATCTTTTTATTCACTAAGAAGATCTTTTCTCAGATTTATTTATTTATTCTCATTTATTCCAAATGAGAAAAAACTGGCAAACCTGCATAGGTTTCCCTGGAATAGAATATCATTTTTACCTATCCCTACCCCACTTTTCCCACTTCTAGTCTGTCAAACCTACAGGCCTCTTCTCTTCCCCAAACTGCTGAAGTGGAAGGAAGCCTCCCCATGACACTTACATTGCCTCTCTCTCTGCTTGGACATCATGTAGCCACGAACACTGAAGTCCAGCCGCTGCAGAACTGGCTTCAGCCGCACATAAGCTCGATCCCACAGTCGGTGATACACAGCAAGGGGCCACATCATGACAGTGACAACTGAGAGGGGGCATGGGAAACAGCGGAAATATGGAGAAGGAGCTGCACAATACATTCCTAACTGTCCCTCTGCTATTATGTCCTTAGGGCTTAGACACATAGCGTGGATCAGTTCTGCTTAATTCTGCTGATCATCTTCACCAGTTTCCCCACTAAACGAGCAGGGTTTTGAGGGCAACCCCACAGGGCCTAGAACAGGGCTGTGTGCAACAGACTATGCTGGTGGCAGGCTAAAGGGAGAACAGGACAGTGGTCAC